GATTTATTTGTTTACTTACAGTCAGCCAGCCGTGTTTTTTTGTTGTTGTTGTTGTTGTTTTTGTTTGTTGTTTTGACTGAGTCATCTCATTCCAGGCTGTCTTTTGAAATTCACTATGAAGCCCAGGCTGTTCTCAAACTCATAGCCATTTTCTAAGTGCTGGAATTACAGGTATAAGTCACCTCACTGGGGTATTTCAGTGTCGTGGCAGTGGCAGCTGTGGTCCCTGATGTGGACACTGTTTTAAAGTCAGTGGCTATCTGTAGGTCTCTATCCAGTTGTATGGGACACACCATGTGGCCCCATTCAGATCCAGTTCCATTGCTAGGCTCACCAGTGATTTAAGGGTGACAGAATGCTAACAGGTGCACACTCCAGGAGACTGTGATGAGGATCCTACCGTGAGAAGTGTTTAGTAGCTGAAAAGTCAGTTGTGCCTGTTGCTCTCAGTCATATTTACATTGTACCCTGAGTTTGCCACTGACATTGGTCCCTGACTTTGTTTTCATTTCTCTGAAGACTTGGGGACTGTTTTTCCTAAGATTTTTTATTAGTGTTCACTTTATTATAAAATAATTTTTTTATATCCTCTTCGGCTAATTCTGGCCAGGTGAAGTGGAAAGTCAGGCTGATCTATAGAGTCTATATTTAAACAGTCTTCAGACACCAGAGTCTATTTTGATTGTTTCCTTCCCTTGGTAACCAGGTCCCTTTCCTAGAACACAGCGGGCACCCCTGTAAAGCTCCTCCACCACCAGCCCCACCTCCTGCACAGCCCTCTTCCTCCTGCTCACTACTTACTGTATGTACCTCCCTCATGAATGTCCCAGGAGTTTTGTTTCCCCCTTGAGCTTGCAAGAAACACCTGGTAGGCAGTCCCTGAACACTTGTTGCCTTCTCCTTCTGTGATCTCTTTCATTCTTTGGTTGTTCTTTACTGTTGCTATAAATCAAACTTCTGAGCAGTGTTTGGAATAGTGTCCTCTTTAGAAGCTATCAGAAGATTAAGAATAGAAAATGATCTCTGCCCACTAAAAAACATAGGTCATGTTCACATTTTGTTAGTCAGTGTGTTAGTGAGTGATGGCATTAAGGGCTGGGGGTGTAACTCAATAGTATAACATGTGCTTAGCATGAGCAAGGCAGGCACAAACACACACACACACACACACACACACACACACACAAGCACACACAGGTGGGAGGTGCATTTACCATGAATGCTTTGTGACATTTTTATTAAATGGTGTCTAAATCACATAAAGATTGCTGCAGAAGATAAAAGTTATTATTCTTCATTACGTCCCATTGGGTCTCTAATGCTTACAGAGAAATGGAGACAACAATGCTTTCTACAAAGGTGCACATTTATTTCCATAAATAAATTTGAGTAAAGCGTTTACTCAGAATGTACCAAATTCTGTTCTGTAGAGCTACAGCCTTTAGAAACATTTGTAACAAAGTTTCTTAAAGATGCTTTGTTTTCATGTGCAGAGTTAAGAAGTCTATTTGATAGGTAGACTTTTAGTAAATACACTTTCAGAGAATTACTCTTCCTCATAGGACTGGGAAGAAATGAGACATCACACAGCAGCGTGTATCTTATTTGTTGTTCTGTGTTGTTGACAAGGTAAATAAGGCCATGTGCATACTGACTTATTTTATGGCACCATCACATCTTTAGCAGTCCTGTAACCCTTCCGGAGGGAGTTGTCAGCGGGGAAATAAATACCATAGTGGGAGATGGGTGCAGAGTCAGCTCTTGTTGTTTCATGTGTGCTGTGCGCGCATTTCCCCGGAGCCACGCTACCACCATGTCATTCTATTCTGCACACTTGAGATATTCAGGAGCTCTTTTTGCTAACATATGTGGCCATTATTTCAGGATAAGTAAAAGAAATAAGAGGTTCTGATTAGAAAGGAAGAAGTAGGCCTGACTTTAGGTGTGAGGAAAGTTGATGGTGTCTCCACAAGCGCCGAGCCGAACCACTGAGTGAAGTTGGAAAATAGAATGATAGACAAGGGACGTACGTACCTTGAGCCTGGTAGTGAATATACTTTGAAATTTTTTGGTTTTGTTTTGTGCTGCTGGAAATTGAACTGAGGGTCTTGCCAAGTGGCTAATGTTGCAGAACACAAATTATATAAAATCATTTGTATTGATAATCAGTTTCTAGTACATTTACATATTCAAATTTACCCTTTACATAGCTCCATGACATGTGGAGTATTAGAAAATAAATCTGACAAAGGCAGGGTCAAAGCCTATGAAACTCTAGCGCAGGGTTGAGAGGCCTGATAGGAAGCCAAAATGAGGGGAGAAATGCTTCCTGTGGTGGTGTGCATGAGAATGGCACCCATGGGCTCTTGCATTTGAATACTTCATCCACAGGTGGAACTGTTTGGGAAGAATTAGGAGGTGTGGCCTTGTTGGAGAAGGTGAGTCACTAGGGGTGGCTCAATTTAGTTCTCTCTGCCTCCTGCTTTGAACCAGATCTAAGCTCTAAGCTGTTGTCCCAGCGCCATGCCTGCCTACTGCCATGCTCCCCGCCATGTTGATCAGGACTTTCATGTTCTGCAGCTGTGAGCCACAGTAAACATTTTCCTTGAAGTTGTTTTAATCAGTGTCTCTTCACAGCAAGAGAAAAGTAACTAAATGCTTCTGATGAAAAAGTCAGGAAAAGATCATTATTGTTAATGTGTCCATTCTACCCCAAAACAGTCCATGGACCCAAGTACTTTGGATGAGCTCTCAGCAGGGTGTCCTGTGGGAACTGGTGATCTGACGTAAAAATCCATGTGGAAATGTGAAAAGCCTGGAATAGTCAGAACAACTTTTAAAAAGAACCAATTTGGAGAACGGAAACTACTGGATTTCAGACTCTATTAAAACCTGTGCTAGTCAAGCAAGTACAGCCCTGGTGTCTGAAGATGGCCAGCTAGAGGGAGGTTTTTGGAGAAGGGATTTCGCTGAAGAAAGAACGTTTTTTTTTTTTTAAGCAGTAGATCAAAACTTAAAATCTCTGAACATAATGGGGGGGAAAGCTTTGCACCACTAAAATAGGCAAAGTTTTCTTACAAATGACACCAAAAGCAAGCTTCATAATCTAGGCCCCGTGGCATACACCAGTGGGCTCCATGCTGAGCAGGCAGCGCCAGGAGGATTACTTTGGGTGGGTTCAAGACCACTTTGGTTCATGTGGTGAGTTCCAGGTCAGCTTGAACTACAGAGTGAGACCCTGTCTCAAGCAAAATCAAACAAATCTCCCCATTTATAATATGAATATCAGCATACATAAATATTATGATTACCTTAAAATAATTTGGATATAATCAAAATTTAATGCTTATTTGAAAAACATTCTCCAAAGGATGAAAAGATAAATCACAGATTAGGAAAAGTAACTTCAAATGACTATACTCAGAATATATTTAGAACTTTGAAATATCATGAATTTAGATAATAGACAACCCAATAAGCATACACAAATATTTGAAAATTCATTTGGGCAAATAAATATGTAAAGAGGAGGTCAGCATCATTAGAATCACGGTAAAGAACCAGAGAGGTGATTTGTGGCTAGGAGTATGTACTGCTGTTGCAGAGGACCTAGGATTGGTTCCTGGCCCTCATGTCTAGTTGCTCACAGCTACCTGTAAACTCCAGCTCCAGGGCATCCAACATCGTCTGACCTCTGTGGGGATCTATTTCATGCACCCATACCATCCCCTCCAAGGGATACATACACACATATAGAACTTAAAATCTTAAAAACAAACAAAACAAACACAGTAAAACAGTACCGCATAGTTCCTAGGCTGTGAGCACTTATGAATGCTGGCAACCTAGCTTGGGAAGGATGTGGACAGCTCGGGACTGCTGGGGATATAAAATGTACAGCCATTTTGGAGAAACAACTTGGCAAGTTTATAAGGTCAAACGTACCCCTACCTCTGACCCAGCAACTTCCCTCTTAGTAGTTAGTATTTCCTGAGCAGAAGGGAAGGCATCTTCCATATGAAGGTCTGTTTGCAAATGTTCACATGGTTTATCAGTAACATCCCCAGACTGGAAAAACAAATAGTGATGCACCTCTGTGCTGGATTATGCTCACCAACAAGGAGGGGAGGAAGTCTTGAGATCTGTAATGTGGATAAAACACAATAGTTAGGAGAGAGAACAAAGGAAAATTGATAGGATTAAATTTGTATAACATTCTAGACTAGGCAGACCAGTCAGTAGTGACAGGAATATCAGGTTGCTTAGAGGACAGTGAGGTGGGGCTCGAGAAAGAAGTTCCAAAGGGATGCTGAACTTTGGCTTGTAAGTATGTGGTCTCATTTGTAGCAGTGATTGCATTTGTATGTGTGTCCACCTAAATTTACTTAAATTGTATACTTTAAATATATATGTATATGTATGTGTGTGTGTGTGTGTGTGTGTATATATATATATATATATATAGTTTTGATTCCCAGCTTATTATGTGAACAACACAAACTTGTTTTCACCAATTTTAAATTAATGCTAGGCATCATGGCACACACTGGTAGTCCTAGCACTTGGGGTAGCCTGGATTATCTTTAGACCCTGTCTCAAAACATGCCCCTCCGAAAGTACCACTCAGGTGACAGCTAGTGTCTTTCAAAGGTGAGTTTGGATAAGGATTTTTAAAAGAACTAAGGAATTTGGCATACACTGTTATGGAATAATTATGAATTATAATGCGCAAAATATTTCATTGTCATAAATTTATTATCTTTAATTTGTGTGTATGAAATCTTCCTTGAGACTTCCTTTGAGACTCATAACGTGGCTGTCACCCTTCCTTCTTTGACTAATTTTAGAATGCAGTTAAGTCCTTGGGAAAATCACTTACATCATCGCTGAAGAATTCCTACTAAAATAGCTTCTCACTGAAGTTCCCATCCCATGTTAAACCCACAGCAGGTTCTGATAAACTCAAAGATAGAATAACTTTTTTTTCTCTTTCCACACAGGCCCTCTGGTCGTGGCAGCGCGGTCATGTGGTGGATTCTTGGCAGTCAGCAGTCTGTGGAGCTTTTGCAGGTGCAAGGGATTATATTATACTGGAAAAAACCAAAGTGGGGGGAGAGAATGTGAAAATGCTCACTGTGCAGAGCAACATTCTTCAGGAATTCCACATTGTTTAGACGGACAGAGCCTCGCTAGCTGTTTGGAGTGAAACAAACCCTAAAGAGGTGTCTGCTTGAATGACAACCAATTTGTTTTTTGACAGATTTCCCCTTTCCTTTTTATCTTTATGAAAGCCTCACTCTGGCCCTTGGATTATTTTAAGGATGGTTTATAAAGCCCTCTGTGTGTGTTGGGGCGGGGGGTACTGAGCAGCTGTCTGCTGGGAGCGGTGCTGCGGGCAATGGGAGATTCACAGCCCGTGTGACATGTTTGACAGTGCAGGAGATTAATTGGTATCAGGAGAACAGGGGCTACTCCACAGCTTACGGCAGGCTGAATGCACTGGGCAGGACATGTGGGCTTGGGAGCATCTGAGCACTTTGAGGACGTTAAAGCAAGAGCAGCATGTCAGCACAGTGTTGTGCTGCTGCCTGTCACTCAATGCCAAGCACACAGATGCTTCAGACTGTAGAAGAGAAAGGTCTGTCTGTCAGTACAAAGACAGGCAAATTAGAATTATAGTTGCAATAAAAGTAGAGCTTGGCCAGAGAATTAAAGTGTTTGGATATAGTGCTGGTGAACGGATGGGCAGGCAGGTTGGAGGTCAGCAACTGTGGGGAAAATGATTCTTTTACAAATATCTGTAACAGTTGTTGGATTTTATTTGTTTTCATGTAGTGATTAGGAAAACAGAAGCCATACATTTTATTGACTCATTTGTTAATAATTTAAACCCATGTAAGGTGTGGAAGTAACCACCAGCTCAAGAACTTTACTGCAGAGAAGGCATCAGTCTGTCCAGATCAGGGGGGATAATGGTTTCCACACCTGCATCATCGGGGGCGGGCTTAAAGGAGGGGTCTTGATTAATTTTCCAGAAGTCAGGATGCTTTGCTATCCCACCCTTTAGAGAAGTGTGTATTACTTTTGTTGACTGTCTTCTCACCTGGGGCAGAGTTATTAGGGGTGAAACACCAAGAAAACATTATGGAAATGGAGTCATCCTGGACAAGAGAAGCTACTATATATATATATATATATATATATATATATATATATATATATATAGTATACAAGTGTTATGCCTGCATGTATGCCTGCAGGCCAGAAGAGAGAACCAGATCTCATTACAGATGGCTGTGAGCCACCATGTGGATGCTGAGAATTGAACTCAGGACCTCTGGCAGAACAGCTGGTGCTCTTAACCACTGAGTCTTCTCTTCAGCCCCTGAAAAGTCACTTCTTGGTGTTGAATACTCTAAAATTTACTTGCCTTCAAATAAGAAATAAGTATGTTCTGGTATATCCATTCTGGTGGTTTGATTAGGTGTGCCCCTCATAGACTCGTGTATTTGAATACTTGGCCCCGAGGGAGTGGCACTATTAGATGTGGCCTTGTAGGAGGAAGCTGTCACTGTAGGAGCAGGCTTTGAGGTCTCATATGCTCAAGCTATGCCCACTGTGGCACACAGTCTCCACTGCTGCCTGCAGATCAGGATGTAGAACTCTCAGCAACTTCTTCAGCATCATATCTACCTGCATGCTGCCATGGTTTCCACCATGATGATAATAGACTAACCTCTGAAACCATAATCCAGCCCCAATTAAATATTTTCCTATATAACAATTGCCACAGTCATGGTATGGTGTCTCTTCACAGCACGAGAAACCCTAAGACATCCTTCAAATCACGATTCCAGAGTTTACATGCAGACACATGGATACTGTATATTTGGGGATTTGTTTTTATACAGTCCTCTTGCTGAGGAATGCTCTGCATCGTACTCACATTTGTCAAAGGAGGGAAGGAGGACAGCTTCTGTCACACATGTGTTCTGTGGTGGGAACCCTCTGCCCTGGCCTTTCTGGATGCGTGATGCTGAGCTAGGCTGGGCTCTCTAACAAGTGGCCGAGTCTCTGGTTTAAGCCCAGTTCCTGGAGGAGACCTTGGGCTTTCTGACCTATAGCATAGAAATAATCACTCCTCCCTGGATGGATCCAGTGATGTGTGCATTAACCCTCAGCCATCTGTAAAACTGAACAGCTGTAAGGAGTTCCTATTCTTCCAATTAAAAAAAAAAGCATCCTCCAATTGGAAAGCAGTCCCCATAATAACTCATTTCCTGGACAGCACTGGATGATGTCATGATCTGCAATCACTGCGATTTTCTGTCCAGCCATCTCATTGTTTTCAGGTGAGATTCTGCTAAGTGAAGGAGTTTAAGGCCTATGGGGGGGGGGGGGACTTGTTGGCAAAGGTTTCTGTCCTGCCCTGTCTTGTAGCTAGTCAGTCCTGAGGAAACACACAGAGGCTTACATTAATTATAAACTGGTCAGCCTATTAGCTCAGGCTTATTAACCTTACATTAACCAATAATTCTTATCTGTGTTAGCCACGTGGGTTGGTACCTTTATCACCGAGGCATTCTCATCTTGCTTCCTCTGTGTCTAGGTGATAACTGCAGATTGAGCCTTTCCTGTTCCCAGAATTCTCCTATTCTGGTTGCCCTGCTGTTGGGAGCCAGCCTCAACAAAAATGCCTTTCTCCAGACTAGAGGTGTGGGGATTTAGAAATGTAGTAAAGAATATGAAGACACAAATGAAGATAATGAAACAGAGAAACATATAGGGTGGTATTGGGAGGGAATATTTTTAGTACTGAAAATTTGCCTGCATTTTATTTCCAACTGCTTAAAATACCCTACCCCAAAAAGTAGGAGTAAGATAAAAGACTGTATTAACATGATACAAGGAATTGAAATATCAATTGAAAGTCATGGGCTACATTTATAGTTAAACATTCTGTTGCTAGAACAAAACAAGTCATGCTCACGCCCTAGACCAAAACATTCTGTAGGCAAACCACTCCCTGGGTGGAATCCCAAGTTATTTCCATAAAAAGGGAACTGGAACTTAGTTGAATCCTTAGACTTTTGTTTGAGGTGGGATCAAACTACTTCCCTATTCCAGGAGCGTGTGGTCTGGCAATTAGCTACTCCTGTTGACAATAACCTTGAGAGAGCAGAAATCTACCTTCAACGCCTCAGTGGGACCCTTGTCTGAGGTAGAAGCACAATAACCTTGAAGGAACTAACAAGTCTCAACTCTCTGACCTTTGGTCAAGAAGGAAATAGGCCTTTTTAGGCTTCCACACCCTGCCTATACTTTTTGCCTAGCTATGGGCCAATCAGTGTTTTATTAAACCAGTACAAGTGACAGATCTTTACTGGGTTCAAGGCCATCGTCCCTCAGCAGGGGAAAATGCATTGTTCGCAGATCATCATACATTAACAGAAAAGAAATACACTTCTTGTTTATATTCTTTGGAAATTTTGTTTGGTACAAACATTAGAGAAACAAGATAAGTATTTTGAAAACATTGCTGTAGGATAAACATAATTTGAAAACTGTCCAAATCAAGTAAATTGTTGTTCTGCAAGAGTGGACTGCAGCCCTGTCCAGACATCCACACACTGCCGTACAGACTCGCTGCTTTTCATGATCAAACTTGCCCTCAAGTCAGAGATGAGACTTTTCATCCGCATACGCTTTCCCAAGTTTAAATTGGCCTGCTCATTGCCCAGGACTGTGTTCTGTGCCATCCTCAGCATGCTCTTCTGTGCCCGTGCTTGCTTCATAAGCTACTTGGCACAAATACCAAAAATGTCTCTTGAGATTGGAGGTGTTGATGGCTTGTCATGCTTAGAAATTCCCCTGGCTTCTGGTCAGGGTTAAAGTCAGGAAAAAGAAGGGTGTTGCCAGCTTCCTCACTCTAGGCCTTGAGTCTTAAATAAAACCTAATGATGTTGGATATTGATATGTTTACTACAGTTTTGGTATTCTGGTATCTTTGGATCAATTTTTTCTAGTAAAAACTTTCTTATATTCTCTTAAGAGCAAAGGTATAGGGGAAAGAGGAGGCTGTCATCCCTTGAACTGTAGAATAGGGTGTGTGTGTGTGTCCATCCATCCCGGGAGCCTTGCTTGGAGCCTGAGAGGGAGGTGGACAGGAAGAAAGTCTTTCCCCTGGATGCATCAGTTAGGAGGCTCCAGGAGCAGAGATGAGCCGGGCTGCCAGGGTTGGCTTGGGGCCCCCTCCTCCACATTCCTAGCTTCTGCTCTGAGGGGTATCTCCAAGCTGTTAGAGAAGGGGTTCCTTTGCCTTTTAGAGGATTATTACAACATTTGTCCCCCAGGCAGCAAGTAGTTTTCCTGGGAAAATCAGTTCCATGAATGTGGCTCCGAAAGCTGCAGCTGAGCGTTCAGGGAAGCAAAGTGTCCTTAGGAGTCTGGGTCACACAAGAGCATCCTGTGTCTGCCGCACCCCATAGGGGTTTCCTCTGATGTGTTAGGTGCTCCTCGCAGTTACCCTCTAAGTGAACATACAAAATAAGTAGTTCGGTATTTGAGGGCCTTCAAATTGATTTACTGATGCCTTACATAAAATGCCCATCTCAGCATGATAGTTCATCTTTGGTTCAGACTACTTCCGTGGAGCACAGACCTCTAAAGAATATGCAAGTGTCCACAGGAAATGATGGTTAACCTCCGTTGGTGGCCAGGGCAAGTTTGACTTGGCTATCAAATTTATTGTGTTAATCTGCTTTATAAATTAATTTTGGGAAGCCTGTGAATATTTTTATATAGGAGAATGAAATTAAATCTCAGGCTTATTTTATGTGTTGTATCAGATCCTTTTAGAGGTCAGGACATGTGATCCCACTTCCTGCTCCATACTAGCTGCCTCGTGCCATGGGTAGATGCTAGTGATGGTGCGGGCATAGTTCTGGAGTCGGATAGTAAGCAAGGGATGGCATTCATGCCAACCTTTCCCTGCCCTTCACATGTTTAGTTTGTAAAATCGTGACTAGTGCGGGGCACCTACTAGGCATATTGAGTGCCTATTGTGTGCACTAGACTGATGTAGGAAGGAAAATCACCATTCTCTCTACCATGTCTTAGATTCTTTTTCTATTATGATAAACACCAAAAAGCAACAAGGGGAAGAAAGGGTTTATTTCAGCTTATAGTGTATCCTGAAGAAAAGCCAGGATGGGCACTCAAAGCAGGGACTGAAGCAGAGGTCCTCTAGGGATGCTCCTTCAGGCCTTGCTCAGCCTGCTTTTCCATATAACCCATGACCACCTGTCCAGAGATGGCACTGCCCACAGTCTGCAGGTCCTCCCACATCAGTCTTTAATCAGGAAAATTAGACTTGCCTACAAGCCAATGTTAGGGATGTAGTTCCTCAGTTGATGTTCCCTTTCCAGACGACTCCGTCTTGGGTCAAGTTAGCAAAAGCCTAACCAGCACAGGGCCCACCTAGACTGGACTGGATTCCTTCGTAGTGCTACTGTGGGTCATGCCTCTTCTAGACACTTTGCATGGATTCTTTAATAAAGAGAATCTGCCACATGGCTGCCTGCCCTTTACAGATGGGCATCTGAGACCAGGCACCAGGGCCAAAAGTGCTGGAGCTGGTCAAGCTTACAGCAGATCTCAGCTCTGCACTGGGCAGAATCTTTTTAAATGTTTTCAGTTTCTTTCCCACTAGTATGTGGTGGTGATGGGTGAAGGTATGTTCATGCCATGCCAGCATGGGGAGTCAGGGCACTTGGGGGTCAGTTCTCTTTCCGCCATGTGCCGTCCAGGGTTCGCACTCTGGGCATTGGACTCATGGCAAATGCTCTTCACTTGCTGAGCGATCTTGTTGGTCCACAAACTTATAATCTAAAAGGACAAAAAGTAAGGGGTTCTAAACAAATGGGGTGCTGACAGGCCTAAGGTGTGTGGCAGTCGTGGGTAACCAAAATTAGAACGTAAACTGGGAGTGGGTGTGCCTTCCCACAAGTGTCAGAACGGATGTCACTGTGCAGCCCAGGGCCACTGTGGCCACCTTATTTCAGCCCCACATTTAGAAAGATATTTGTCAGAAGTCAGTGCCCCTTTTGTCCACATGCCACAGCAGAGGGAGCCTGGAGCTACTTCTGGAGCCCCCTTTGTAAGCCCCATAAACTCCTGGGAGCTGGGTCTCCCGAAAGCCTTTTAGGGGTTATTGTTTCTCTCTCCTTCTGTCCTTTCAGGGTTTTGTATGCATCTTTGCAGCAGGTTAGTAAAGTATTGACATCAGGCCTGGCGTAGTGGTGTCACATGCCTTTAATCCCAGGACAAGGAGGTGGAAGCAAACTCTGTGGCTTTGGGCCAGCCTGATCTACATAACAATTTCCAAGCTAGCTCTGGGTACACAGTGAGACCTTGTCTTAAGCAAAGAAAACCTTTTGAGACGATAGGCTATAGTTTATATTAGCAATAAATTCCTGGTTTCTTTGTCCACAGATAGAAACACTGTTAAAATCTGTGGACAGTTTGCCCATCATAGTAGTTAGATGAAGAAAACACAGGAGAATATGGAAAGGAAGCCTTGAGGCCGAACGTGTGCCAAAGCAAGAGGGAATGGGAGGTGGTGCTGAGAGGGCAAAGTTTGTAATCATTCTCTGGACTGTTATCCAGAGCCTGGGAAATAGAGGAAGCCTCCTGGAGAGAAGTCCTGTGGCACACATGAGCCTGCCCGTGCAGAACAGAAGCAGCCGAAGCCTCTGGAGGCTGTAAGACAGGTAGCCTACAGAAAGGTGCGATCCCCAAAGCCACTGGGAGCTATGTGCCTCTCACAATAAAAACCCATATCTGGCTGTTCAGGCGTCATATGTGCTCATGTAACATGTATTAGTGTGCACATGTGTTAGTGTACCAGGCTGAGAGAGAGCAGGGGGAGTTGTAGGGCCTCACTCCTTAACCCACGAGGAAAAGGAGTAGCCTCCACTTGCTTGCATTATCACTGCAAGAGGTGTGAACAGGGTAGACTAAAATTCTTCATGTGTGCACCGTTCTCAACACAGTCAAGTAGGCATGGTGACAAAGACATGACTTTGACAGTTCTGTGACTCCAGATGTAGAAATGGCCAGGATGCTGTCTAGACGTCTCCTGACTGTTGGGTCTCGCACACAGGTGGCTTTGCAGCTGCGGTTACTACACCTTTGGATGTGGCTAAGACAAGGATCATGCTGGCCAAGGTGAGTATCAGATAATGCAGATTTGATGCCGTATTCGCTATCAGGCAGAGCTGTAGGGATGCAGTGACCGGAGTACCTGCCGACCCTTGGGAGATGCTGACAGTGGGAGTGAGCACTGTCACCGTGATGGAGCTGTGTGTAGCATGCTGCCATGTCACAAGCATTCTCGCAGCTGCACTCTGTAAGCGGCAGACCTGAGGGCCTCTGCCTGCGACTGTTTTCAGACCTAAGACTCGAGAACTTGACTGGCTTCATGTTCTTCATGCAGATTCAGAATTTAGTTGGCTGTGACCAGAAAAGACAGTTGTCAGAATTGTTAAAAACAACAAAACAAAACTCCGGCTGAGCTTTAAGGAATTTCAGTAACATATCTGAACCAAGCATTCTCTCAGTCCAGGTCTGTAGGAAGCAGAGCAGTGTGAGCAGAATTCTAGTCTATGGACAGGACCAGCTCTGAGAATGGGTGATTTTAAAACTGAAAATGGCATTCCTCATTCCTGTCAGGCTTTATAGTAAGACCCCACCCCACCCCACCCCATCAACCAGGTCTACTGCTTCCCATTGGCTTTCTGATGAACAGTTGCCATTGGTTCCTAGGTGAGCTCTGAGAAGTGGCTTCCCTGAAGTGTTTGTCTGCCTCTCTGTACGTAGGCAAGATTTCCAAGCCAGCCCTAGTGTTCCTTGAAGGCGGGTGAGGGGAGCCTGTTCAGAGTCCTGGGAGCTAACAGCCCTGTCTCTCCTATCTTCTGCAGGCGGGCTCCAGCGCCGCTGTTGGGAATGTGCTCTCGGCCATGCATGCGGTGTGGCGCGCACAGGGACTAGGAGGGTAAGGACGAAGTCAGCCCTTAGCAGCTGCCTTGTCTCCTCTTCCCTGGCTCTTCCTTAGATCTTGGGCCTGCCATGGTGACATGCAAATGTATAACCCTAGCTATATTTGGGCTCCAGCATTGATACAAATAAGTTCTCACAGTGTAGACGTGAAAGTGAGTTAGAAGAAAGTGGGGCTTGGGTGTTTGTAGCCACTTTTTTTTTTAACCTGTAGTCTTTTTTTATGTATACAGTGTTCTGTCTGCATCTATGCCTGCAGGCCCGAAGAGGGCACCAGATCTCATTATAGATGGTTGTGAGCCACCATGTGGTTGCTGGGAATTGAACTCAGGACCTCTGGAAGAACAGCCAGTGCTCTTAACTGTTGAGCCATCTCTCCAACCCTTGTAACCACTTTTAAGAACCGTTGGTAGCCATGCCGTGTGATGGGCATTTGCTCTGCATCTATGGGTTTGTTTCACTGATGGACAGTTTTGTCACTGTGCAAGTGTATCATACAGTGTGCTCACACAAATGTAGATGGTGTGACACACACCTGGGGAATGGTAGCTGCAAGTACAACATGTGACTATCTTGGAAACTATGGATAGGTGTAACAGCAGTAAATGTTTGTATATCTGGAGATATACAAATAGAAAAAAACTATTTCCAGCCACATCCGCATCCTACAGGACCAGCAGGACCTGGCTGTGCAGTCTGCTTTTCTCTGAAGTGTTACCCAGCTCACAACTGTACTGGCAGTTCCACCGTGGTTGGTCTCAGCTGGGCAGTATTGTTCTATGTTAATAGCTAAGAACCTCAGTCTTTCTCTTTGCATATGATGTGCAAACGGGTGTATTACCCACATTGTGTGCCTGTAGATGCCAGAAGTTGGGGTTGGGTGTTGTCCTTATCAGGCTCCATCTTGTTTTTGAGAGTCTCTTTCTCAGAACCTTGAGCTCACCATTTTGGCTACAACAGCTGTCCGGTGAGCCCCAGATCAAACTGTCCCCATGTGCTGGGTACAGGTGTATGCTGCTGCACCTGGCTTTTATGTGGGTGTTGAGGACCTAAGCTTGGCTTCTCAAACTTGTATATTTCTCTCCAGCTCCACGTGCTTCAGAATATCTTGCTTTATGTCCTAAACAGCTGTTATTCTACACCCATATAGTTGTTCTGAAGCTGAGCAAATGCTGAGATGTTAGCAAAGAAGGATTTTCTACATGGAACCTTCTTGATATGTGTGCAGAGTCCTCAGCAGCCTCCTTTGGAGAAGGAGGGTGAGCTGGCGCTGGGATGGCTGGGTAAAAGCAGCACTATATGCATGGCTGAGCCCTGCCTGCCCTCAGCCTCTTCACTGGGCCCTGCTGCCTGTCTCATCCCCATCTAAAGTAGCTCAGATTGCGTTTTTGTGTAACTTCGGCGCTTTCAATTTCAGCTGTCTCATGGTCTGGGGAATGTAGTCATGCTTTTGCCAGAGAGCAAACCTATTGTCTTGTTTGGGTTTTCCAGCTGAAAGTGGTAGCCAGTGGCTTTACTGAATGTCCCGCTCCAGTGCTCTGAGATCCAGACTGGATCTGGTGGACAGGACAGACTGACAGATTCTCGATGTCTCAGCAGTGACATGGCTGACGCCTTCTGAGGAAATAAGACACGATAGTCATTCATTTGGGAGCTAATTCAACTCTGAACCAAGAAATGGAGGAGGGGAAATGGCTGTGAATCCCATATACACTGTTTGGGAATCCTCTTAGATAAGCAGTGGCTGGCCCACAGAAGCAGCAGCTGGGGACAGTGGCTTTCGACATCATAAAGGCCACCTGCCAGATGTCAGTCTCATTTCCACATGTTAGCGTCTGTGGTGACTCAGCCAAGCCTCTGACCGCGGTGTTGTAGAGCTGCAGCCATTTGCCAGTGTTGAGGAAGTGGTGGCAGGGACGGCACAGTGGCTGGGACATTGCCCCACCATGGTGATGCAAGGACCAGGTCACAGCACACATCGACTAAAACTAAGCAATGTCAAAACTACAGGCAGGGGAGAGAAGGAAAACAGGTCAAGGGTGGATGTTGGTTCTGACTTAGCGCTGAAAGGTGATTTAAATTTTTGTCTGTCTTCTGAGTCTCCAGTCTGGGGCCACCACGTCCAGCTTTACATGGGTTCTAGACTTGAACGCAGGTCCTCTGCAAGCACTTTACTCTCTACGCCACCTCTCCAGCTCCCTAAATGGATTATCAAAAGGGGCCCCGTGATATAAAGTCCTTGCTTTCCTGTGAGGTGCCAGATAGAAGGGTGGGACAGCTGACTACTTCCGGTGGTTATGCAGGATGAGGGGGCTGTGTATCCAGCAGGGACTCCCCGTCAACATCCCACATCCTTAAAAGGCATGAGTGTTGGCATAAGAAAACAGTTGCCCTACACCCCAAGTCTCTCCACTAGTGTACACATATGGACATCAAACGAACTGTGATAACTGGTTCCCTCCTTCTCCAGGGATTGAGCTTGGGTCATCAGGCTTGATAGCCAGCATCTTTAACCACCTCACCAGCCTAAGTTCTGATTTCCAACTTTGTCTTTCTGCATATGAAAGCACTTTTCTGGGCAGCAAGGTTTCAGTAGAAATAAGAGGTCTTCTGCCCCTCCTTCCCCTCCCTCCTCTGCAGAAATCAGTTATTTACAGCCTAGACCATGTCCAGCTGCATGCTATTCTACTGGTTTACAGTGCTGGCTTATCTAGTAGGTCATTAGCAGATTACTTTTTTTTCAGTAATATCACAGTGGATATTTGAAGAATATCTGAACCTCTAGAACAGTTCTTCTCAACCTGTGGGTTGTGACCCCTTTTTTTGGGGGGGGGGGTTTGAACAACCCTTTTACAGGGGTTGCCTAAGACCATCAGAAAACACAAATATACATTATGATTCCTAACAGTAACACAATTACAATTGTGAAGTAGCAGTGAAAATAACTTTATGGTTGGGGGTCACCACAGCATGAGAAATTGTATTAAAGGGTCACAGCATTCGGAAGGTTGAGAACTACTGATCTAGAGAGTGGGTCGCAAACACCACGGTTCTAATTGTACTGGGATGGAGCACTGGAGTGTCCAGGACTGCCATGTATGAGGTGCTCCCTCTCCATCACAGGCATGTGCCTCTGGTGTCCTTATGTAGCCTGAATGAGATGCATTTCCGTCTTGTAGAATCACATTTGGGAACTCCAACAACAAAGTGCCACTGAGTCACCAAGACAAGAAGATAGAACTGTTTAAGAACTTGTTTTGCTTCCCTGAACTGAGACCCAGAGGCTCCTCAGGTGTCCCACTGGGATATACCCTTCCCAGCCTGACCTCAGATTTGTCCATTTGACTCCATTTTTAGAGCACCATGTTGGGACAGTGGTTACCGTCTTCACCTGAGAGCTCCCAGGTAGACAGCACAGCATTCAGCCATGCTGGACTGGGCTCCAGATTCTCATGCATACTTGGGAGTGTACTTAGTGGTCTTCTGAAAGGAAGGGAACACACTGTTAAGTGTCTGAGGGATGTGACAAGTGGGTGTGCTCAAGTGAGCAAACCATGGTTTCTGTTCCTAGGTTATTTGCAGGTGTCTTGCCACGAATGGCAGCAATCAGCATGGGCGGCTTCATCTTTCTGGGTGCCTACGACCAGACCCGCAGCTTGCTGTTAGAAGTGGGCAAGAAGAGCCCATGAAGCAGACACTGCGTGTCCCTGGAGAAGAGGGCTGCTGGCTGCTGTGCAGCCCCTGCCTTCCTTAACTGGCGAAGTCAACGCTGCAGTGTGGCACCTTGAGAGGGCTGCAGAGTGCAGCCCTGAGTGTCTCCATGGAAACTATCCTCAGTGGACCTCCAGACCAACATCTCCACCCCTTAATAAACACTTCAGTGTCCTTTGCCTCCCGCTATCTACTGAAGTCACTAAAATGCAAGCGAATGGCTAGACTGGGAAAAGGAAGGAGGCTGGGGCAGGAAATGTGCGTGTGGGTGTTTCTCCCCTGGGCTAATTCCTATTGTGTAAGATTATAGCTTTGTTTAAAAAGCATGAACTGCAGGTGCATAGCATACATTCTTTCTGGAGACTGCTGTTTTTAATTACCCTTGTATTTCTCATATAAAAACACATGATTATATTATTTTACAGCAGAGTGCCCCCAAATCCCTAGTGTGAGAGACAGCTGCAGCACCAGTGACTGAGTGGGTGGGCAAGTGACTTTGCTGCAGGACACGAAGCCCCATGACCACCACTGTCCTCCCGGGAGGGCCAGCTAGAGCTGTTCCTTTGTCCTCATGGTGAGTGCAAGCAACACTGGCTGCAGGAGGGGAGGCTCAGCATATTCGGGGAGCACAAGGCTTAACTAACCAGCTCCAGGTGGCAAAAAATTAGTGAGCCATCCGAGGAATGTGACGCCGCTGCGCCTTCTGGGGCAGCAGTGTCGTCTGTGATGCTGTCTTCAGTAGTCTCCCTTTGGGGAAAAAGTAATAAAAGGCAGAGTAACTGCACTTAGAACAATGACCACAGCACACACTTAGTATTTATAAATGAACCTTTATTAAAGACACTTTAATGCCATTTGTTAGACACTTCAATATCTTACATGTTTTCAATTTACACTGTACCAAAATTTCTATAAATAAATAACTCTGTACATAAAAAGTAATACTTCCTCTTTCACATTGCCTCTCAGAAGCAGCAAATTCACATATTTTGTGGAAGTAACATTAATCAGCCAACTGTGGAGAATAAACTTCTGTGCTTTGTCCTGGGGCACAGTGATGACCTGTGACATGGCAGTACACTGTCTCTGGCCATCACTGTGTCAACACTTCCCTTCAGCTTTCAGGGATTTTAAAGACTGAGTTTGCTTCCATGTTATTTTTACTGAATTACACATTGGCACTCACAAAGATGGTTAGCAACAGGGCCCCAAAGTGCAAATACACCCAGGCCTGGGACTCAGTCATGTATAGTCCAAGCCCAGTTTCACTATATGAGGGAACGTTGTGGACAGACCTGCTGGGCAGAAATCAGCTGGCCTAGAAGTGAACTACTTTTATCCCCCACTGCAATGCTGTATTGGCAGAACTAAAACCTCACTACTGGAAAATCCACAGGTGCACCCACACTGGCAGCCTCTGCCTTAATAAGCTCCAAAGACCCACTGAAGGAGACAAGACATTTGCTTTACCAAGTGAGTTACAAAGACGAAAGGCAGTGCTTGTTCCAAGCCATTGCTTTTGGTGGATTAACAGCCCTCAACCTCTTCCTCAAAGACAGACCCTGAACCTAGAAGAAAGGCCAGTGACACGTGCGCCCCATCTACAAGGCCAGACAACAGCTGCACAGGTCTGGCCAACGCACCTGAATCTGACTAAGGGAGCACATAGCCAAAATGCCCTCCTTCCCAACCACCAGCAACAGCTAATGTGGTTTTACCTGAATTTCAGCTGTGCATTAAGGCACCAGAACTATTCTTGACCCTCTCCAAAATTAGACAGCAACCTAATGTGAAAATATCACTGAGGGCGGGGACACATGCGCTAAGGATTAAAATAGTCTCTGTAAAAGATATATAATATATATGAAATCTCTGAAAACTCTTATGTACAACGGTATCAAATACTTTTCCTGCCTTTTGTACACAAACAGTCTCTTGCATTTCTGTGCTCCAGATGCCAAGTCCTTTAGCCAACTGACACTCCACATGGAAGTTAAAACTGTCCAGAGTGACTGCCGTTTGGACACAAACTTCCCACAGCTTCTCCTACCTCTTCCCTGTAGCGATTGCTTTAAATGAGCTGAGGTAGATGAAGCCTAGCTCTTCGGTGCCAATAGCAATGGTCCCCTCCGTTTCCCAGTGAGCTGTCCTGTCAGCGGCATAGACTCAGGACTAGAGTCACAGGCCTGGGGGAGGTGGCCATTGGAAACAAGCAAGTGCTGGGCTTCAGTAGATATGGCATCTTCTATGAGCTCTGGGCTGCCCGAAGTTAACGTAGGAGAAGGCTGTAGGTCTATGGAGTCTGGTGCATGTAACTTTGCTAAAGTCCAAGAGGAATCTCCTGTTTAAGAAAACATGAGGGCACGTTAGCCTGTGCACATTAACCCCATTTGGGCTCCCAGCCCATGGCAGACATGCTTCTTAACACGATACTTACCTTTCCCATCTGGGGATGCTGCCTTGTTCTTCAGAGACAGTAGTATTCTGTCATGGTTACTCGGATAGAGGGATCCTCCAGAGTGGGTGTGAGACCCGTCAGCAGTCCCAGGGTAAGGATGGTGTGGAGAGGATTCTAGGTCATGCTGCCTGAGCTCTTGGCTGCTTGGTGTACCTGGCCGTCCACTCTCTCTGGACACAGGCTGGGGATGGAAGGCTTGTTCCTTGGGCTGACTATCCGTGTCAGTATTGCAATCACCGCATACAGCAGAGCCACTGTGTGCTGAATGAAGCGCAGAGCCAAGGGTCAATGGGAACCAGAGCCACTGAAGCCCCCATCCCCTCTCAGAGGCCTGAGTCCTGTTTACAACTGTAATCACCCTGTCCTTCCCTGGAATGTACACATGTAGAGGAACTGGGCCCACACCAAGTCCTGGTCTTTTGTGCATAAGTGAGCACCTGAAATTCATTTAGGATGCACACTTTGATCACAGGAAAAATGGAGAGTAAAAAGGAAGATTTGCATTAGGCATCACATAGTGGTGAATCTTCTCAACAGTCTTCTAAGCCTTAAAGACTCAGGCAGTGGGGCTGGGAGTTGGCTCAGCAGGTAAAGTGCTTGACGAGCGTTAAGGATCAGAGTTCAGGTCCCCAGTACTCCTGGACATGCCAGGCTTTGTGGCGGCCCATCTGCAATCTAGGGCTTGGGATGCAGAGGCAGGAAATCCTGGAGCAAGCTGGCTAGCTAGAGTAACTGATCAGTGAGCAGTGGGCTTAAGTGAGAGGCCCTGCTCAGTATATAAGGTGGAGAGTGACTGAGGATAACACACCAACCTCTGTCCAGTAGCTAGCATCTCAGAAGGCTGAGGACAACCTGGGCTACAAAGTGAAACCTTGTCTGGACAAGACAAGACAGTCTGGGTGCAAGGATGCTAACTTCCATGATTTGTGGGCCTTGCCCTGTAAGCTCCTTACAAATTTAAGAAAACTCACACTTCTGCTCGCCACACCAGACTTACCTAAGACACACAGGACTCTGAAATCAAAGGAAGCCAGAGCTTCCAGTTTGTTTTCTGAATACAATTCAGAGATAGTATGAGACCAGTGATGTGCTGCTCCTCAACTTACTATTTCAGTGTCAAAAGCAATGGCCTTCCCTGTCAGTGACTCCTACCTGCTGGATGTGGAGCAGCGGTCCTGTCAGCTTTCTCCATCACTTTCCAGGGCTCTCTAGTATATCCAACACACAGCTTGGGCTGCCGGCATGTAATGCTGTGCACGTCAACCTCTGGGAAGAGGCTCGAGTCTCTCAGACACACACCTGAAAGGAAGCCCCTTCTTAGGTCTCTCAGCCTCTAGAGGACAGGCTACAGCTCTTTCCCAGCACCCATCCCTTGGCACCCACCAGGGATTGGTTCCTATGCTCCTCAGAGATGCCCAAATCCAAGGATGGTCAAGTCTTTTCTGTAAAATGATGCTGTTTGCACATAAACTGTCCATCTGTGAAGACCTTACGACAGCTCTACTAATAGTACCCAGTAACCGTGGAAAACTTGCATATTCAGTACAGACACAACTTTTCTTTCCTGAATTTTCAATCTGTGCTTGATTGAACCACCACATGCAGAGCACCAGCAGTACTGTAAAGCTGGTTCAGGACCTGGAATGTTCTTGGCATCTACTCTTCCTGGCAATCCTCTCTTGATTGAAGACATAGTGCTAAGCCCAGTGTAGGGACTTCTGGAGGACCAGATGTTAAAACCACAGTACTTATACACACCAGATCCAAAGCAAAGCATCTGTCAAAGACCTGGTTCGCCACATACAACACAGGTACCCAACCTACCCCGGCGAGGAGGTAAAGCAGCGTTCAGGATAGTCAGATCAGACTGTTTCACTGTTCTTGAACTTACCATTGCTTTCAATGTGCGCACTGGCCTGATGGCCACCTTCCGTCCTGACCACAGTTTCCTGCCGGTCAGAAAGGGTTCCCTGCGAGGAGAGGTAGCTCGGCACATCTGGAGGCACGATCGTTTCATCTGCAAGAAGACATGACGATGAAACAACAGGGCAGCTGCCATAACCAATACAGATACACATATGCGGTCACACAGCAGTGGCCTGAGAGCTCCGCAGACTCAGCTGCTTCACCTCCTTTCCATCCTGTGGTAAAAACCGTGGAGGACCTAACAAAATCCCAAGGCTGTGAGAGCTTGGAAACAACCTGATTCCTGACAACAGGCAGGGCCCTGATGCCTCTGAATCGCCATGGAGACCAGAAACTGCAGGGGCCAGCAGGTGCTTGAATTTGAGAGTGTTTCAATTTCCTGTTATGTCCTTCAGAGGTGACATGTGGGAGGGGGTGGCAATGCCTCAACTCTATCTACAGACAGAATCCATATTCCTAAAGATTCTAGAAGTCTCTTAGGTTCTAGGCAAAGCCTCAGGGCTGGTGTAATCCATGTTGGACTGCGGCGCTCACTACTTTCGCTCCCCCCTGAAGAGCCTGCCGCACTGCTGACGTGTGTTAGTGTGAGTGCCGCACTGCTGACCTGTGTTGGTGACGCTGTACTCCTCACTCTTCTTCCTGGTCTGGTAGATGATGCACACCCACACCAGCGAGGTAAGCACGATGCTGCAGACCACAGCGATGGTGAAGATGCCTATGGTGGTCCCATCCTTCCGGCAGCCGGGGGTGGGCAAAATGCTCAGTTGGCTGTGTGCTCGCTCGGTGCCCAGGGGATTAGACATCTCACAGGTATACCGGCCTGCATCCTCTACTACCACATTCTGAACAACCAGCAGCTGATTGCCTGGAGTAAAATGGTGCCGCTCGGTGAGGCTCAGCGGCCGACCTCCCTTAAGCCAGGTGATGCGCGGTGTGGGACTCCCAGTCGCTTTGCACTGGAGGGCCACTGTTTCTCCCACAGTTACCACACGGTCTTCCAAAGGCACTGCCAAGGATGGAGTTTCTGCAGGAAGGCAGCGGAGATTGCACATTTACTCTACGGGGCTTGCTTGCTGGGGGTCAACTTGTTTTCCAGACAGGAGACAATCCCATGTAGTAATGAAATGCTATCTGAGATCTTTTATGAGTGCTCCAAGCTTTTCAGAAGGCCAAATGTGACTAAATCCTCCTTGCCATTTTAGGAACGGCCTCAATATAGCAAAGTCCTAAAGCCTTACCTCACACTAAACTGTCCTATTGAGGACCTGCGTCACTCACTACTCCTGCCAAGATCGTACCCACCCATCCCCCACAAGGAGGGATCCTTACTCAGACATACAGCTGAGTACTGTCAAGACGGAAGTTCTTGCTCATTGTCTTTTATGAGCCAGAACAACTTACTGAAAAGCAGCCCCAAATTTCAAACTAGGTACAAAGAGGATACCACACTTTTCCAGAAAGCAGATGCCTCTAATACTTGAGTTTTACCCCCATCTCTCCCCACCACATACACTATCAATAGCGAACCTAGGACAGTCAGGGTAGCATTTGCTG